TCCAGTCCATTAGCACCTGGCACAGTAGAGCCCCATCCTGCAAAGGCCCATTGCAGCTTCATAATAAATGGTCACGATTCAGCCGCTAGACCCATATCAGCCATAGCTATCTCCAATGGCTTTGACCGACCTGCTTATAACTGGCTAAGCCCTGCCTTCTGTGCAGTGATAATGAAATGCTAGAGTGGGTCCCATCGCTCTGGGATGTGCAGAGCCCCCATGATGCCAGTGGGCAAGCTGACAGCCAAATGATTTGCCCATGGCTTGGCTACACAGCCAGCCAGTAGCAGAGCTGGGAGCAGAGCCCAAAGATCTTGTTCTACCATCAGACAAGTGACACCATCCAGTGCCCTGGTTCTACCACCCTGCAGGTTCCCATCCCTGAGAGGCACTGGGCTCTTGCAGCTCACTTGGCCCCCCAGCTGCCTTTGCAGTGGCTGGACAGCACCGAAAATCCTAGCCCTGACGCAAACCACATCCTGACAGGTGCAACCCCTATGAGGCAACTGGTCAGCTCAATGGCTGCTGACTCCCTCGGCTTCTGCCCTTTCTCTTCTCAGCTGGACAGCCCCAGCTGTTACCTGCCCCAGCACAAGGAGATAGAGCCAAACCAGAAGCATCTCATCTGCCCTGCAGGGTTCTCCCCTCTGTAGCTCCCAGTGCCAGATGTTTCTGATCTGCGCAGGGGGAAGTGGGACCTCCTGGATGACTGAATCTGCCTGGAGAGGCAGCAGGGTGTGTACGTGTTCCATGCCGAGGCTATCAGTCAGCTGTCCCGCACGGCAGGGGAGCTCGCAGTCCTCAGGACAGACGCATCCCAGGTGACAGGCTTCAAAGAGGGCTGGGGGCCAAAGGGCGACTGGAGGCGGCTTCCTGCTGCCTCACAATTTCCTGCCTCGCCAAATAAAGCCAGGAGACACCAATGCTTCCCCTGCTGGGACAGAGCTGGAGAACCCACTCTCTGCTCCAGGCCTGTGACCAGGGCCAGCAGTAGGCAAAGGACATACAAGCAAAGGACATACTGGTGGGTTTGCAATTCACAGGCTCTCAGCTTTGCTGGTAGGGAAGCTACAGAAGAGGGGGGGAACTCTAGTCTGGTCTTTCCAGTCCCTTCTCCCCCCAGCAACAGAGGGAGGAATGTGGAACTGACTGAGAGGTGCCAACTCCCGTGGGAACAGAAGTCAGATCAGCACCAAGGCTGCATCTGATGCCACCTCCAGACATCTGAGTTGCCCTTTGGCACTAAAGTGTCACAATGAGATCCTTCCCCACACTCCCTGAGGCCCCAAAAACCATGACTTGGGCACCACACTTGCATCAGAGCCTGACAGAGAGCTGCAAAAAGCCACAAGCAGGAACCACCTTCTGTGTGCATGGTTCTACAGGGTGGATTAAGAGACAGAGGCTCCTCAGTGAGGGACAGGACCTGACCCTGAAAGCTTCAGAGCAATCCCACCCCGTCTCTGTAGCAATGCACCATTGACAGTAACCCTTGAACGAAACCAGCTTGTCCAATGCAGGGTGTTCCTGCCCTGCCATGCGCTGTGCTGTGCCCATGAGGTCAGAGGGATGGACGGGGTCGGGGGATTTGTAACAGACAACTGCCTGAGGGCATATCCCAACAGGCCCAACCAGCAGCTCTGGCCTCTGCAGCTGAGATATTGGCCTCGAGATCGGCCCTGTTCAGTAGGCCAACACTTACACACACTTCACAAGATCAACTCAGAGCTTCAGGTAGGGGAGTTCAGGGTGTCAAAACCACCCAGCCCTATTGTGGGCTGGCTGAGCTCTTTGAAACAAAAGAACAGCTCTCGTATTTCTCTGTAGTTGCAAAACAAGTGGAAGCTTAAGAGCTATTATTTTCCAGGAGGCACCATGAGGCTCACGAGGGGGCCTTGACCCTAACAAAGCAGGTCGTGATTCTAAAAAAGGCCACGAACCACTAAGCTGTAGCCCAGCCCAGCCACAATAGGAAAAGGCAAGGAGTAGCACCACGATACAGGAGACAACGCAAGGGAGGAAACTACCTGGGAACAGACCCCCAAGCAAAGGGAAGAGACTGAGCAAGGAGAAGCACCCTATCCACCACCCCAAGTAAATTCAGATTCTCTCTCCCGCGCATGCCTGCCTTGGACTGCAGGGTCTAACAGTGCCTAGACTCCGATCCTCATTGCCCCAGGGAGCAACCTTGGACTCCAGAATTCCACCTAGGTCACTGAGACCAGGATCTGGCCGTCTATGAGCAAACCCGTTCCCCTAGGGTGTCCTGTTACTTGGGAGCTAACCACCTGGACCAGGCCAAGCTCTTGGGAATTGCCCTTCAGGCTGACACAGCACCGGCAGTCGAGTGGGACTGGTGAGCCAACTCCAGGGATTCACCAGCAACGGTGAGGTCAGTGCACAAGGGTCTGCCTTGGCCTTGGCTGGCTATTTTGGATGGTGGCTGCAGTGCTGACTGTGGGTGGCAAATGATCCGTCTCATTATGCAAGCTTCATTCCCAGCCCGTATGGAGCAGCCGAGCTTGGCTGGCAGGCACCAGGGCAGCACGCAAATGCCCTCGTCTCCTCCAGCCCTGGGGGCTAAAGGGCATGCTCCAGCCCAACCTGGCTGGTTGCAGCCAACCACACTGATCAGGTCACTGCCACTCAGTTGCAGCTCCCCACCTTTGCTCTGCCTCTGCCCAAGGCAGGGGCCTGGCAAGGGCATCCCCAGGACACCCCGTGTCTGGACAAGGCTGGCAGGACTTTTTAAGGGCTCCTTGACTAGAAGCTTCCAGCAGGGCAAGGCTGTCCCTCGCACACCTGGCTGCCTTAAAGGGACCTCCGGCTGCAGACACAGAAGCTGCGGAAACACGGTGGCTGGGGGCAGGTGGTAGGAGGCCCAACTGCCACAAAAGAACAGCCCTTCTGTGTCTGGGACATGGGGGGAAGCTTTCCCCCAGATGCCTTCATCACACTGACCCCATGGGCAACATCCGGGGGGGGCCGAAAGAGACCCCCAATGCTGGCACATGAGCTGCAGCAGGACCACCAGGGGGAGCTGAAAGCCCCTATAATCTCCTCTCTGCCCCAGCATGCTCAGATCCATGGCAGGCGATGGGCAGGGGTAGGGCACACTCTTACAGGGCTGCCCTCCTCCCCAGGGCACCAGGGCTGAATCCCACACTTACCGTTCCTCCATGAGCTGCCTGATGGATGCCACGGTGGGTCCCGACCCCAGGTGGGTGTAGTAGGGTCCTTCGTCCTTCTCCACAATTTGTTCTGTCAAAGGGGGAGAAAAGAGGGAAGGGAGATTGATGGGCTTGTTCAGATGCACCCAGTGCAGGGAGCTCTGGGCAGTCTGGGTCCTGGGGCCAGTGGGGCAATTTCTGCACGGACGGAGCTGCTGTCATGCAATCCTATCTCAGAACTGGGCCATATCCTGCCACCCTTACCCACTACCACAGGCCTGTTTCCCCACGGGCTTCGAGGGGACTCCTTGTTGGGCAGAAATAATGGCAGCAGCCCTGAGTGAACAGAGGTGTGTGTGGGTAACCAAAGGCCCCTTCCCTAACCCGAGCCATCTCACTGCCCACTCAGTGGCAGCAGCCTGGCTCTGAGGTGCCTGGTAGAATAATTGACACCTGGAATTTCTCTGGAGAGAGCTAAACATTTGGCATGTGTTACAGCTCCCAGTTCCCCCATGGTGACACCCTCATTTCTTGGCATGGGACAGAGAGTGCCAGCAGGGAGGGTGGCATATGTGTGTTTGTGTGTGCTCACACCCGGGGAGAAGGGAAGAGACAGCTCCTTTAGCAAATCATTCTAGTGTCTCCTCTCTGCAACACACCCAAAATGGCATTTCAGTGCTGCTTCTGCTTGCTGTAGGTTATTTGATTTCTTGCTTTACATTAGGGAACCCAATATCTACCGTAAATTCAAGGGCCCAGCTGCAGGAGGATGAATTAACCGGTATTCTGGACCTACGACCGATGGATGGGATATCACAGTCACCGATTTTACACAAGTATGAGGAAGAAAATAAGTAAAACAAATTTATTAGAGAGCACGGCAGATTAGGAGAGAGAGAGAAATATGTAGATTTAGGAAGACAAAGGATGAGAGATTATGCTTAATGCATGTTAAAACTATTCAAGTCTCTTACAGTCTGACTTATTTTCCTGATCCTTTCCAGCTGCTGGTACTTGGAGTCCATGTTATAAGCAAAGAAATACGACAGTAAGGGTTTCTGCTGCATAAGCTTTTGCAGGGCAAAAGCAAAAGTCAAATCTGCATGTGATCTATAGAGGGCATGTGATTGAGCAGCCTCAGCTCCCTTGCTGCTGCTGCAACATAATTACTTGCTACCAGGAAAGATCATTTCTTCATGCTGCCTTTCAACAACAAGGGGTATATCTTATTCCAGGGCATGCTGTATGTGGGGAAATATGGTACATCATAGCCACCTCAACACCAAATGGCCTGGCAAGAGGAGAAGGCCAAGCTCAAGCCAACTCTAGGGATCATTCGCAAGCCAAGCATGCTGCCGGGCACCCTGACGGACCCATCCATCAGCCTCCCCTGATTCCTTCTCCCCACTGTCTTCAGCCAAGTGCCTAGAGAGAGTGCAGGGAGAGTCCAAGCACTGGGATTGTTCAGGTCAGGAGATACTGTTGGTGGCTCCGTCTCCTGCTCCAAGTTCTATTTCCTACTCCCAAAAGAGAGGCTGCAAATTGCTTCCTTTTCCGGAGCGCAACGAGCAGCAGAGCACAGGCAGCATACGGCTCAGCTGAAAAGATGGGGCAGCCAACCCAAAGCGGTGCGACACCTGGCGCGTTGACAAACTGGCTGGCACGGGCACCAACGGGAGCATTGTCCTGGGCCGTCCAAACGAATCGGGGCACAGCTCTGGGAAGCCTCTTTTTCGCTTCGCTGCAAACAAATGCTGCTCTGTTGGAAGGTTTCCATGCGAGCAGGTTTCAGCTCTGCCCCCCACCAATGCCTTCTATGAGAAAAGGAGCGGGGGCAGCTGGATCCCACAAGGAGGAGGATGCCCCTTCCTGAGGGACTAGGGGGAACCATGTACAAATTTGCATGGGATTACCACACTGACCTTCGCGCTCTCCACCTGCCTAACTCAGAGCAAACGTTCCCGACCGGGGACAGTTGGCCTGGACACATCCTTCAGAGCTCCCGCAGATTTGCAAAGCATGAACACATTTTGGCGTTGATTTCCAGCCGCTGTCTTAGCCAGTCTTTCTATATTTTCCTTTCTTCCCAACTTGGCCACAGTCCCCGTCTTACTAATTTCCGCTGCCTCTCGGAAAGGAAGATGAACCCGAGTTCTTGGGTTTCAGGAGCCTGCGGCCAAATGCAGTGCTCTCTTGGCTCCCGGCATCACTCGGATGTTGGGTTTCTGTTTGTTTTGGAGCAATGTTGGAGGCTGAGATTCTTGGACGCCGAGCGCTTCTTTTCTTGGTTGTCCAACATGAGTCTCCTTCCAGGGCCCAGATTCTCTGGGAAAGGGGGAGCGGCGCTGTCTGAATGTCTCCTCCCCTTCTGGGCCTTTAGATCTGGTCCCCCACAAATGGGGCCATGCAAAGACCCTAGTTTAGTTTTAGAATCATATCCCTGCCACTTCTTGTATCAATGCAAACCCCAACATCGTTTCTTTGTCCACATGGTTCCCTTCTGCCCTATGCATGAAATCTGGCTACTTCAAGGTTGCAACTCTTTAGAAGTAAATGTGTTTTTAAAAAAACATCGCTGTCCTCATCCAGAGCACTGTGATACTTGGAAGTTCCTACGTGAGCACAGCGCCGTACAAGCTCATACAGTCTGAGCAAATGGACAGTTCACTGCACCTCGGCTTCCTCAGGCTGTGCTCTTATTCTGCGGTATGGGAAAGCTAAGCTTAGCTCTCGGCGGAAGAAGAGTAAGCCACCCCAGCTTTGCTTTCGCTTACTGTGGGATAAGAGCAAGCACACGAGCTGTTACCATAGGGCAGCTGAGGCATGGTCAAGTGCTTTCCCTTATAACATGAATGAGTGTTTTGCTCTAAAATTCAATCCCCTGGCCTTGAAACAATCCCCAGGGAACCCCAAACCAGGACTCACCTCCCACCGCAGAGGCCAAGAACAAGCACAAAGGAGCAACGGAAGGAGACCCAGGTGTCAGCTGCTGTTTACAGATGTCGCATAAAGTGGAAGGACCTGGGTGGTTTGAACACAAGTGGGGCAACTTAGTTCGATAACCCATTCCAGCTAAGAGGTGCTGAAGGTGGAAGGATCTGGCCTTACGGGCTCCCAGCGCTTCACCCCCTTCAATACTACTCAGTTATTCTAGACATGAGCCTTCGCAGACAGCAGTTAGGGGAGAGCCAGGGACTTTGTCCTTCTGCTGCCAAGGCCACCTTGGTGGTTTATCTGCCGTGCTGCCCTCTCTCCCTTTTGGAACAAACAGCAACTGGGCTGCGACAAGGGCCAGGATCCCGGCTGGCTCTTTTCCTTCACAAGCTGCTGCTAATGTGATTTGCTCTTTTGGTTGCTCCATTGAGTGTAAACGCAGCTGCCTGGCTTTCTTTTCTTTGAAGCCTGCCTGTCCTGGCTCTGGCTCCAACCATGCTCAGAGGCAGCGCTGGACTATTGATGGGATAAAGAGCCAATACGGAGATAGTTAAAAAGACGTAGCAGATACTTGCCCATGGCAGAGCCCAGCTCGTGGGTGACAGGCTGCAATCTGGTGCTTGCAGAACAGGAGCCAGTAACCAGATGATGCTGTGCATCCGTGGGGCATCACATGGAACTGAGCCACAGGCAGAGCTTGTCCATTGCCCCAAGAATTGTGTTGGAGAGTCCTGAGGCCCCATACTGCTATGGGCTGGGTGTCACTACCCTCCTTCTCGCAGACAGACTGATCCCAGAGCAGTCCAGCCTGCATCATGATGAAGACTGGCACGTGAGAAAGATGGGTTATGTGGGACCGTTTCAAGTCAGTAGGTTAAGAAGATGGGCCCGTGGTACAGGTGATGACCCTGTCCTCAAATAATGGTCACAGGTTGTGATTCAGAGCTTCCCTGCTCCCTATTTGATTCCAAGAGACCATTACCATAGGGAAAGGGGCAGGAACACAGAAACGTGAATCCAAACCGTACAGCTCCTCCCCACAAAGGCGTAGGCGTGAGAGTCTGGAAGTGGCCTCAGATATGAGGATGATTTCTGCAGGGCCCGAGACCTCGCTGCCCAGCAATGTGGATAGCCACGTACTCTGTGCTGGATGTGGCTGTAGCCAGCAATGCAGTCTGCTTGGTAATACCCCAATACACCGGTGTATGGTTCATAGGCACTTGCTTTGGCTTCTCTTGTGCTTCTCTGGTTAAAGCCAAAGTCCCCAGTTACCCAGGGCGTAACACTTGTGAAAATGGCTATGGGGTAAAGGACAGGCCTTGGCAAGGGACCATGGAGGACCCTCTTGCCTGGGGGAGGTCACCATTGGGGTTCTGCTCTCATCCTCTTCAACAGTGACATCTCTTTCTGTCACGCCTCCAAGCAACCTCTCAGCCAGGACAGAGCAGCTCTTCAGAGTGATCCCTGGAGCTGGAGGCCCATTTGGCTCCACTGTTCAGCCTGACAGGACATAGGAGCCAGTGAAGAGTCAGGGCGTAAGGAAAGGGCATGCCCCTGGTGCAGGGAGAGTGAGGTGAAAAACATGGGTTTGGAGGGAGACGCACTGCATTTTGTTACCAGGCAGCGCAAGGTGGCCAGCAGTGTCTTCACCTCATGACACAATCTAAGGCCACCGCACGGGGGTGACAGGGAGTCCACCCACCAGTGCTAATGGGAGGCAGGGAGGAGAGCTGGGGCTGCATGCCAGGTGCTTCCCTGAACAAGGAGAGGCAGAAACCATGGCCTTGCACCACTGTGTACCAGCCAGCTGAGCTGCATGGGATTGACGGGGGACAGTCAGGGGTGTAGAGAAGATAGCATGTCTCTTGCACACCTGGGCACCTCCAGGAAAGGCCTGTTCCAGCCCCAGAAGGAATCCACCCTCTGAGATGCTGCTGGATGCCAACTGGGACCAGGGCTCTAGCACTTCACAAACACAGAGCCCACCCCATGGACTCCCTCCTGGGCTGCAGGGATTATTCCCCACAAGGGAAATGGAGCAGGCAAGAGACTGGTCCAAAGTCACAGAAGTCTCTGTCAGAGAGCTCAGAGCACCAGGCCACTGAGCTAGGTAATATCTGCTTGCTCCCTCCACTGAGCGGGTAATGTCACTAACTA